CTCACAATAGAGTACCATCCAGACAATTATATTATTCAGTAACTGAGCCACTCATGAGGTACCCCCTTGAAAAATTGTCTGGATGCTGTTTTTTAATAAGGGTTTAATAAGGCATCTCATTATTTGGGAAGCCTTGCATTTTAAAGCTTTAACACAAATATAGTTTTCTAAAGTAAAAGGACCAGCTTTACCCAAAGAAAGGTGGAGAAAGGGTTTTGTTTTTTTCACTCCAAAAAGTTGGTGCTCACAATAGAGTACCATCCAGACAATTATATTATTCAGTAACTGAGCCACTCATGAGGTACCCCCTTGAAAAATTGTGTGGATGCTGTTTCTTAAAAAGGGTTTAATAAGGCATCTAATTATTTGGGAAACCGTGCATTTTAAAGCTTTAACACAAATATAGTTTTCTAAAGTAAAAGGGCCAGCTTTACCCAAAGAAAGGTGGAGAAAGAGTTTTGTTTTTTTCACTCCAAAAAGTTGGTGCTCACAATAGAGTACCATCCAGACAATGCCACTCATGAGGTACCCCCTTGAAAAATTGTCTGGATGCTGTTTCTTAAAAAGGGTTTAATAAGGCATCTAATTATTTGGGAAACCTTGCATTTTAAAGTTTTAACACAAATATAGCTTTCTAAAGTAAAAGGACCAGCTTTACCCAAAGAAAGGTGGAGAAAGGGTTTTGTTTTTCACTCCCAAAAGTTGGTGCTCACAATAGAGTACCATCCAGACAATTATATTATTTAGTAACTGAGCCACTCCTCATATTGTTATTAACTAATGAAAAAGGAAGCAATTCAAAAAAAAAACGGGAAGCAATGAAAAAATGCAACAATAGTAAAATAAAAAAAACATAAAATAAAACTGAAAATTAAAAAAATAATACATAATAATTGAATAAACTTAAAATATAAATAATAAAAAATTAAAAAAAAAAACAAAATAATAATAAATAGAAAAACAAGCAATAAAGCCTTTGGAAAAAATAAAAAGTCGCAAAAAAAAAATGGAAAAAATCTCACAATAGAGGCCCCCCCAACAAACAGCATGTTACTGAATTATGAGCAAGAAATTTCTCACAATAGGGTACCATCTCTTTAATCGGGTGCAAACATTAATTGATTTGTTTGTATAGAAATACAGTTTGGTATATTTTGGTATATATTATATATTGCATTACAATGCAGTACACATGAAGTACATAAATATAGACAAAAAGATCCAGTGCTTACATCCAGGAGACACGGCCCTACCAGGCTGTAACAAACCACCTAGGTGCCTTACACTACAACTATGGCTGGGCCTGCGGTGAGAAAGCCGAGTTCGGAGATCAGCAACTTGAAAGAGACAACTTCCGGCGGGAGGTGAATGAAACGGGATGGTTGAGCCAACAGAAGTTGAATGAAACTAGGCCAATATGACTCAATATGCAGCTTCAAGATGGTTTCAAAATATTGGCGTCCTTCTGTATAAAGATATTCACAACATGAACATTGGGGGTCTGGGTCAAAAGTTGAAGCCTTCACAATTTACCTGCTGAGGCTTTTCCAGAGTCGTGCCTGGAGCCACTTCTGCACCTTTGTGTCGCCCTCTGATGGACAACTGCCCACGGGCCACATCGCGTGTACCACGGTGGATGGTGAAATTACTCCGGAGGCAAGGTTTTTCCGTAGAGAAATGATGTTTTAAACACAGAGAGGCTCGAAGATTCGCCGACCTCTCTATAGGATACTCGCCAGCAAGGAAACTAAATTTGTTCTATTTTGAGCTTCAAATGATCTTCAATTGACTACCAACCAGGAGTTCAACATTTCCGGAGGCCCTAAGTTTGCGACATCCCCCGAGCCACATCGCGTGCACCAGGGTGGATGGTGAAATTTTCTCCGGAGGCAAAGCTTTTCCGTAGATAAACGATGCTAAACGCAGAGAGGCTCGAAGATTCGCCGACCTCTCTATAGGATTCTGTCGACTTTGGGTCAACACTTGTTCAGATTTGGGATGAAATATATGATGAGTTGACTTTCTGTCGGTTTTGGGCAAAGGACTACTCTGAGATTCATCTTCATAATTCTGTAGATTCCATGGTTTGAACGCAATTCCCTGCATTTCTCCCAAAGACCTGTCGGCTTACGGCCATGTACAGAGAAGCAGCGCTGTGTTTCAAGTCTGATTGTATAGCTTCATGTTTTGGTCACAGTTCTTTGTCGGAATGAATCCAATGGCAAGGAAAAGGCGGTCGGTCCGTTTGTTAGAACTCGCCAGCAAGGAAACTGAATTTGTTCTATTTTGAGCTTCAAATGAGCTTCAATTGACTACCAACCAGGAGTTCAACATTTCCGGAGGCCCTAAGTTTGCGACATCCCCCGAGCCACATCGCGTGCACCACGGTGGATGGTGAAATTTTCTCCGGAGGCAAAACTTTTCCGTAGATAAACGATGCTAAACGCAGAGAGGCTCGAAGATTCGCCGACCTCTCTATAGGATTCTGTCGACTTTGGGTCAACACTTGTTCAGATTTGGGATGAAATATATGATGAGTTGACTTTCTGTCGGTTTTGGGCAAAGGACTACTCTGAGATTCATCTTCATAATTCTGTAGATTCCATGGTTTGAACGCAATTCCCTGCATTTCTCCCAAAGACCTGTCGGCTTACGGCCATGTACAGAGAAGCAGCGCTGTGTTTCAAGTCTGATTGTATAGCTTCATGTTCTGGTCACAGTTCTTTGTCGGAATGAATCCAATGGCAAGGAAAAGGCGGTCAGTCCGTTTGTTAGAACTCGCCAGGAAGGAAACTGAATTTGTTCTATTTTGATCTTCAAATAATCTTCAATTGACTACCAACCAGGAGTTCAACATTTCCGGAGGCCCTAAGTTTGCGACATTCCATGCATGTCACGTGCTCAGATATTGGTAACTTCACGCAATACTGGTGTTTTGGACAATTCAAGATGCATGGCATGGAAGTGGCCACTTCAGGCAATGCTTGCCTTCCAGCCACGTTTTTTTTGGGGGGCTCAAAATTTTGAACCCCCAAATTCCACAAAATAGAATATTGGTTTATAATAAATGTCCACTTCGAAATTGCCCTTTTGTTTGGGGGTTGGCTAAATGGGAGGGCACTCCCATTTTGAGGCAAACTATGGTTGGTCAACACCTATGTTTGTTGGTCCCCAATTCCTGTTGGTTAGACTCCAATTTTTGTTGGTTGAACATCCATTTTAGATAGTTGACGCCGACGCACCATTTTTGTGGGGTTGTTTGTTGCTTACTATCTCTCATGGCTTGAGACCAAGCCCCTTCACCGCCGCAGATGGACCTTGTGGAGTTTATTGATTGTTGCAGGACTGATGCCTTTGTTCCAAGATGTCACTGGCCAGTATCTGGGATGACTTAAATACACAATGACAAGAACCAGTATCAATCCATCCCCCCAATATCAAAGATTCCCTTTAGTGGGGGGATTCGCACCTTTTCGCCAGCAATGATGACAGCTCAATGGGTCTTCCACTGGAAAGTGTCAAGCAGATTCACCCAAAGACGCGAATCATAGGTGTGGAATGCGGAGGCATGCTCGTCTCAAGGCATGCGCAAAAGAAGTTGACCAGCAAGACTGCTGCATGACCCAACAAATCCCCCAAAAAAGGGTGGTCAAAGTATCAAAGTGGTTTCTCCATGTTTTTTTCGGCCCAAGCGCCGCCTTAGTGCCTTGGTGCATCGTCCCTTGCCGTGACATCCGTGACGTTGCGATGTGTATCTTGGTCGGTGCCACTGGACCTGGGATCACAGCCACTGGCGAGGCGAGGGATTCTTGGGGGTACCCAATAGCTGGATGGTTTATCAATGTTTATTTCATGGAAAACAATGTTTGAATTTTACGAATGTTAGGGGTATCCCCATGACTTAGGAAACCTCCATGATGTATCATGTATATATATATATATATAATCATGTAGTTGTTTATCATGTATATATAACTATACGACTATCATATACCCATATACAAGATTATACAAGTACATATAGAGATACGATTGTTAGCTAATAGGGAGAATTGCTGTTATGCATGTATTACATATGAAGTATAGCAGGAGAGGGATATGGGGATGCTGACACCACACATCCACTCTGTTGAAGGAATATCCCCGCAGCCTGTGGACTCCAGCGTGTTGTGATCATCCTTTATGTATTTGTATATATATATACATAGTTGAGTTTACATGTGGGATTCGAAAACCCTGAGATTAGTGACCAGGGTTGAAATGATTGAACGTCCATTTGGCCATATACATATATATATATAATATATATCTAATATATATATATATCCATAGTTGTTGACGAGGTTGCATCAGCCTCTTTGCCGACCTAGATCATCCAGGGGGAGGTCCAACCCTTATGGCCAATGATTTCCCTCAAACTTGGATGATTGATGGTGATTGGATATGTGGGAGGCATTGCTGGGATGCGTCAGTGACGACCCCTACCTCTTTCGCACTTTTGTCCATGTGGTGCAACCTGCATCTCGCGTCGCAGTTCCGGATCCTCCAAGGGGGACCTTTCTTTTATAGCAATTACAGAAAGGTCTTTCAAAAATCATAGACATAGTAAGACCAAAAATAGACATAGACGCAACTTTTTGGTTGCTACTGTATGTTTTTATTCTCATATTCTTCAATTCAAATGGTAGAATTTGAGCACACTGGGTATGGTTTCCTATTGGGACCACATAAGCCACATCCCGCTTTGACCCACAGCCTAACTCTCACACCCATTTTGGAAAGTTTGGATCACCCTACAGTCATCACCTTGTGACCCATCACATGTCTGAAGGTTGTCACATTGGATTGATATACGCCCCAAGTCAACCAGACAGGAAATCGACCAGCGTCTTTGGCCATGAAAATCCGATTTGTCTCACTTTGCCCATCATTATATCATATTATATCCATTTGCATCCTTTTATATTCGTGGTTGGTAGTTTCAGTCATAGTTATTTCTAAGCAATTTCTAAGTCATTGCTGTGACCCATACTATAAAAGTTTTGGTGGTTGCAAATAAACAATGAGCCTAGGTGGATGGTCACGCACACGTGGGCACAGAGCTGGTCTGGGCCGATCGGGAGGACTTGGAGCCACCCTTTCCGGTGCCGGGGATCTACGGTGGGTGAAGCACAGGAAACCTCCAGTAAACTAAGATAACTGTGGAAAATCACCAGTTATAATACGTAAACCAATGTACACCATCTATAAATGGGCCATTTTCTATAGCTTTGCAAATGCATTGAGTTCAAACGCCGGGTTGGCATCATGAGAATGACAACATGTGACAACTGACAAGCAAGATGAGGGCCTGACAGACAAACATGGGGGATGAAGAAAAATCAAAGAGACGGTGAGAAGTAACTAAAGTAATTGCAGGTGATTTCTTTGAACGTTATCTAAATTATCCCCCATGTTTGCTGCTTGCACTTCATCTACACCCATTGAATCATATTTATACCCGATTTACAGCCCTTGGTTGAGTTGAACGGATAGGACTTGTGCTGTAATCTTGTGCCAAGAAGTGGCGATGTATACTAACCAACTAAACATTTAACTTGTTGCAGGGTGTACAAAATCGGGAATGATATGCAATGATATATTTCCCTTGCAAATTGATACCACCCCATTTCCAGCCACACCCACAGATCATTTTGCTGCTTACTCAATCCATAGTATACCATTGCATTCCCATTACAATCCCCTTCCGTGTGTTCCCACTATATATGCATATATTTGCGTATTTTGTTGTACCTGCATGGTTTTGGAGTGTCGTATTTTGTTCTTTCTGGCTTTTGAGAATTTTCATCCATTGGGTTCACCAATGCTCGACCGTAAATTACCATTGATTACCTATATATACCATTATATACTTATATAATGAATTTTGGCAGCTATAATATATATATACCCGTTGCAATGGGTTGTAATGTTGTACTATAAGACATATACATCCCCATGGTGATCCTATCATGATATTCCAATTGTAGTCCCTATTTATATCCCATGGATTACCACTACTAACCTTTACTAGACATGAAACAAACCATTATGAACTTTTGCTGACCACTGTAAACCATGATTAACCACTATTGGTCGCTATTGGTCGCGTGATATTCACTGGATGAGTTCCCGTTCCCTCCGGATCATCAACCGCTGAGGTGGAGCGGGGCCAAGCAACGCGTGGGATCAATTCACAGGGCTTAGCCTTCGTTCCTTGGTGGCTCAGGATCTATATAAGATATATACATGTCAACATATAGAGGTTTCTTCATATGGCACCCAATAGCTGGATGGTTTATTTCATGGAAACTATGATCTATAAAATGGATGATTTAGGGGTATCCCCATGTTAGGAAACCTCCATGTATGCATGTATGTATGTGTGCTATATTTCTCTATTATATATCGTATAAATCCGTAATATACAAAATATTTGTAAGCATATCTATAGTATGTTATAGTATCTAATATATATATATAAGATATGATATTTATTTAAATAGAGCTTCAATAAGTATGTGCATACGTAGACATGGATATGAGCACAGCATACGTGTATATATACATATATACCCATACACTCATACATGCATTCATACCTATGTATATATATATATGATATGTGTGTGCGGAAGGAAGTTTAGAAGTCAAACTTCCGACAATATGGACAGAGGTGGGAAGAGCTAGAGAAGAGAAGAAGAAAAAAGATCAGAGAAGAGAAAGAGTCAGAGGAAAGAAGATGCAGGTACGCGAAAAGGTAGAAAAGTCGCGATTCACTGTGTTTTTTCCACTGGTTTGGACCACTTTTGGAAGTTGCGATGTCGAAAAAGTGCACGCCGTTGTGGCGCGAAGCACATTTCGAAGTCAAAATGTACAAAACACACCATTCTCGGACCACTTTTGGAAGTTGAGATGTCGAAAAAGTGCACGACGTTGTGGCGCGAAGCACATTTCGAAGTCAAAATGTACAAAACACACCATGCTGGGACCACCTTTGCAAGTTGAGATGTCGAAAAAATGCACGCCGTTGTGGCGAAGCACATTTCGAAGTCAAAATGTACAAAACACAAACTTGAGGGTTTTGCAGCAGTTTCAAAAGCGTTGCCAGGCGTGGGACATTGGAAGAGGATATGCAAAGATGCATTTTCCGTGGCAAGGGCAGTACAAGAGGCATGTTTATCAGAGATGTTAGGAGGTCCGGGCGCTGATTTCCTGAGAGGGGTTGCATTTTGGAGCATCAGATCTTCAGGTTTGCTAAGATGATTTCGCGTGCCAGGTTTAGCACTTCGTATGACCTGGCTTCATTTTTTCGTGGCAGGTGCAATACTTTAGACAGATGGAATGGAAAAATCTCAAGATGCATTGGTACGAGGCCGTCAGCTCTGCACTCAACTTTCTATTTTTGAAGGAAGTCTCTCAGAATTGCTTCGTTTCTGATGTTGTCAACTTCGAAATTGAGGAAGTCTCGCAGAATAGCTTCGTTTTTGACGTTGTCAAGTTAAAACATTGAGGAAATCTCGCAGAACTGCTGCGTTTTCGATGTTGTGAAGTTAAAAACATTGAGGAAATCTTGTAGGATTGCTTCGTTTTCAAGCTTGTAGATAGACAGATAGATAGATAAATAGACAACTACAAGTACAACTACAACTACACTACACTACCACTACACTACGCTACTACTACAAATACAAATATACTACACTACATTACACTACACTAATTACACTACCGCTACAACTACAACTAGTGCTACCACAGCTACAGCTACAATTACAACTACACTACATTATTCTACACTACACAAATCATGCTGCAGCACACTACAACTACAAATACGAATACAACAACAACTACAATACACAACAGTACACTACACTAATTACAATACATTACATTTACATTTCATTACATTACATTACATTACGCTACAGCTGCAACTACAACTACAACTACCACTACATTGCACTACACTACACTACACGAATTACATTACACCATGCTACAACTACAAATACAACTACAGCTATAACTACACTACGTTACACTACACTACGGTACACTACACTAGACTAGACCACACTACAACAACTACAGCACGCTACACTACATTACACTACATTACACTACACTAATTAGACCACACACCACAACTACAACTGCAACTGCAACTGCGACTACACTTCACTAAATACACTACAGTACAGCTACAAGTCCACTACGCTGCACTACACTACAACTACAACTGCACTACACCACACTACATCCAGGAGTTGTGAGTGAGGTGACCACTGCAACCATCGCAACCACCCACAAAAAAAAACAACTCCAACCGCCTTTCGGTCCATCAGTGGATTCGCTCTGTCAACCATGCATCACAACAACTCACCTCTCCTATAGTGTCCTATCCTTGAAACTTCCGCCACCGCCTTGTGCGGCACTACTGGTATATATATATATATATACATAGCACCATCTATATACAACACATGGTTTGATAACGCTTGCATTCACCTCAAGATAAAGACATGGTCCCAGCGTCTTGAGGTCTATACACTGGTGTGGGAGCAATCCCCTGGAAACATGGAAGTGGAGAGCGTGCCATTCTGCAATCTTTGTGAAGCTTTATGGTGTAGTTGGCGTGAAAAATGGGGGGAGACCATGGATACCTTGCCATTTAAAAGTGGAAGATGGGTGAAAATCCGTGAGGATGATTCTGATAGTTTGGAGTAGCGCATTTTTGGATACGTTGGTGTCCCACATTTCTCCTCATTTCAAGAAGCAATTGCAGCAAGAACCTCCGGTAGTTGGTGGCTAATCCCAAAGGGTGCTGTTGTGGATCATTCACCATACCTTGACCCCTATGGGTCTCAAAACAAACCTATATACGATTCAATGTTGAAGATTTTTGCGGTTCCCGACTCAAGAAATGATCATGTTCATGCGGTTTGCAGTGATCAGCAGATACGGCTCCCCTTCAAGAGGTACTTGATTTTCTGAAAAATTATGTAGGAGGCGTGTAAGGCATAGTACACTTACGGGCAAACCCCTCAGTTTGCCCGCGCCAACGCCGACGACATGTCCGAACATCAAAAAACACTGTGTTTTGCGGGACAAAATGCACATGTCCATGATCATGGCTTTCATCTTGCAACGCACAGCTTAGCTACCTGTGCGTTGAATGTTATAACAACAACAACAACAACAACAACAACAACACCAGCAGCAGCAGCAGCAGCAGCACCATTATCATCATCATCATTTTCATCATCATCTTCATTTTCATCTTCATTTTCCCAAGTCAATGTAAAGTTTAACGGGGGTTGGAATTTATATTCCTAATGCCCATGTTGATCTTCCCACTTGAATGTAAAGTTTAACGGGGGTGGGAATTTATATTCCTAATACCCATGTTGATCTTCCCAATGTAATGTAAAGTTTAACGGGGGTCGGAATTTATATTCCTAATACCCTTGTTTAACTTCCCAATTGAATGTAAAGTTTAACGAGGGTCGGAATTTATATTCCTTCAAAATCCCTAAGAAGTTGTGTGGGCGGACCGGGGGGTTTGCGCGTACACCTACAAACGTATAAATGATTTCCGTACGAATTGGTCCTCCTGTTTCTGCAGCTGGCAAACAAAGTATCCCACATGGTTCCCCAGAGGGGGTACATGTTAAAGATATTAAAGAGTCGTGCAGCATTGGCTACTTCACGCTCTTTGGTGATGCAACATACCGTAACCATTTAAATCCCATTTATATATATATAATTATATTTGCGTATATGCATATATGCATGCATACCTGATTACCTACCTGATTACCTACCTAACTGCCTGCCTGCCTGCCTATTTCTATACCTACATACCTGCATGCCTGGATACCTGCATGCCGCATGCCTACATTCCTACATTCCCACCTACATACATGACATTACATGACATGACATGGCATCACATGACAATACAATACAGTACAATACAATACAATACATTGCAATCATTGCGGCTCATTGCAACACATTGCAATATCTTACAATACATTACAATGACAATACATTACATTGCATCGCCTACATTGCAGTCGTTAAAGTACGTTACATTGCGTTGCATTATATTGCATTACATTTCATTACATCTCACTACATTTCACTACATTTCATTACATTGCATTAATTACACACACAGACAACTAACTATACGTATATACACACGTGCATATATATATATATATACATATGGTGTTTCGAGTGATACCCAGCAGCTGCCATGACTGCCCTAGCTCAGGAAAGGATGATGAACGATTGCAGCAATGTGAAGGATGCATTGCAGTTGCTCGAGGCTACTCCGTCCGTGGCTCCTGCATTTTCGGTACCTAGGAAGCAACACGCCACGGGATTTTCCCACATGTGTAGGCCACACCAATTGTCAGGAACACTTACAACTAACTGGCCAATAACACAACTGTCATAGGACATAACATGTAGTTGATTGCCAGGGATTCAGGGATATTATATAACTTTGAACGCCTTCCGCTCTAAGACTCTAAGAGTGCGCGTCTGACTCTTTTGTCTTGAAATGATCACACCTGACACATGTGCATGTCGCGCACACAGTGTGTTCGGGCTGGGCACAACCCTGCAAGTGTGCACACATATTTCAAACATGTTCAACCCCAGCTGGATAATAGAAATTTGAGAATCAGAGAGAAATACTTTGATAAAGCGATTGTCACAATTTTATATATATATAATATAATAATATACCATTATAATATCATACCCTCTGGCAAACTAACCTAACTATGGAAAATCACCATTGTTCATGGGTCCCTGGGTAAATTAGCTATATACCCATGATATCCCCATTCAAACGCAGTGATTCGCCAAGGTGCTCCTGGCAGATGCCTTTGGGGATCTCGCGCATGTAGAGGTGGGTGGCTTTGGTACAGCCGTCCATCAGCGCTTTTCCAAAGAGAAACCAGGCGCGGTCGCGGCGGCGAGAAAAATCACTGGGTGGTTTAAATAGGGATTTCATGAATATAGACATATATAGGCTATGCAATGGTTATAGACTATGGGTATAATGTCAAAAAAACAATGACATACGTAATGGGATGGTACCCTGAGGTGTCAACATGGCTTGCTCAATGGAAAAATCCCCCAGTTAGATCAATGGTTTTCCCAGCAAACTCCATTTAGTTCGGGGATTTCCCAGCTAGTCGTGTTTGATTAGTGGAGGGTAAGTGAAGGTTGCTGGTTTAAAATAACTTCATTGTTGAAGCTCCATGTGTCCATATTGCTACAACTTGTATATATGTATCATGGTTGTTTGGTTTGGTAGTCTTAGTATCCCTGACTGCAGGCATGCAAAGCAATGGTTCTTCAAAGATGGGCACTTGAATTCCGCTGCCTTCCAGCTCTCCTTTTGACCAATTTTAATAAGGCGATTGGTACCCTGTTCCTTGGACATGCTCATTTAAAACAAAGGACCAAACCCAAGCCAATCAAGGAGCAATACTTGTATGATCTTGTACGATCTTGTATTATACATACACATCAAATCAACCAGTATTTGTAAGGTTTCGAGAGTTGTCACGGCTGGTCTTTGGAGGTTTGGCTATTGCAGTGGACTGCTACCAATCCCAAGAGCTCAAGCACTTCAATGACCCAGCAGCAGAGCTTCAGGCGCGAAGCGCCATCACGTTTTTTGCATGGTGGCATTGGTGGCATTAGCCATGAGATTCCCTTAGTTTGTGATAGATTGTTGGTGATGGTCCCTTGGATATTCGTGTGTGTGTGGAACGTCTGAACAGACGTAAAAATTCGATGGCGGCTCGTCTATATATTTTTTATATTTTATGAAAGCAGGGGGTCACCGGGGTCCCGGGGGGGTCGGTGACCAACGAAGACACGTCGCCGGGACCCGTGAAAACGTACCTGCGGGACTTTGGTGGTGCACCTGGGCGCATTTAAGTCGCAGCTGGTGGCCACCATAGTCCCATACATATATATATATATATATCATTATCATTATATATATATATATATTTAATTATATATATATATTGAATTATATATATATATGTAATCTTGTCTAATTGCACGTTATGGGATTCAGTTCCCGACGGATCACTCCAATGATCCAGTTCTTTTCTAGTGTGATTTCCATGGTGGCTCTGACAATGGTGCCATGGACCCAATTTAGTGAAGCTTTCTTAAGGTGAATGCGGACACTTGACGTCTGAATTTACACATGTTAATTTAGTAATTCGTTTAAGTAAAATGAAACAGTCGGCCTTTCTGTCGTCAGCCATTTCGTCCCGCAGACTCCGCCGTCCTTTTGCCCCTTGGTTGCTTCAATCTTACGTGCGTGAAGCCTTTCTGAACTGCCAGAAACCTTTCTTTTTGCTGCTGCTCAAGCTTCTCGCGTTTCAACATGTCCAAAAGGCAGCAGGCATGTCCTTTTCCTGCAGGTATGGTCTTTTTGTGAGGTCAAACATTTGTGCATCTAACTCATTTGAATTTGAAAAGCCGTTTACCCATTCGTGGGTTGACCGACTACCGTCCCTTCGAAGGAATAACGCACGACTCTCTAGGTTTGAACTGAATCCCAGTTAATTTTCCTGCTTCCACTTTTTCATCAACTAAGTCCCCATTCGGTCCCCTATTTCATGCATTCTTCCCTCCCCAGGAGGGTTGGGTCCTGTGCGTGCGTAGGCGTAAGTTTCGCTGTGGCAGGTTGGTTCAGGCGCTTCCGTCCTTCCCCCCCTCCGCTGGTCTTGTTCCTTGTCCGTCGGCCTCCGTTTTTCTTTTCCCTTGCCTTTTCAGGGTTTGCCCGTTCCGGGCCAGGTGTGTTGGTGTTGGTGTTTGCTCCCTCCCTCTTCTTTTGCGTTCCCCTCCCCGTGTCCCGGTTAAGTAGTTTCTCACCTCATCGTCAATTTCATCTCATCTTCATCCCCTTTTCATCCTCACCTTCACCTCATTGGCAAGGACTCCACCCTGCCTAGTGCAGGGTGTGTGTGTGTGTGTGTGGAAAGTCTGAACAGACGTAAAACTTCGATGGCGGCTCGTCTATATATTTTTTATATTTTATGAAAGCAGGGGGTTCCCGGGGTCCCGGGGGGGGTCGGTGACCAACGAAGACACCTCGCCGTGACCCGTGAAAACGTACATGCGGGACTTTGGTGGTGCACCTGGGCGCATTTAAGTCGCAGCTGGTGGCCACCATAGTCACAGTCCCATATATATATATATATCATTATATATATATATATATCATTATATATATATATAATCTTGTCTAATTGCACGTTATGCGATTCAGTTCCCGACGGATCACTCCAATGATCCAGTTCTTTTCTAGTGTGTGTGTCCCTGCAATTGATTGCTGGCAATAGTTCCGTTGATCTACGGAAATCATGAAAAGTGTCATACAATCATAACCAAACATTTTCAATCTGTTCTTACCTGATGTCAGATACAGTCCGTTCTTGGTCAATTTCGCCAACATCATCTCCGAAAGTTTTCCGGATTCTCCTGTGCTTTCGTGGCTGTAACTCTGTCTCCCCAGGCGCAGGAGAACAACAATGGGTGTCGTTTGGCGCGAGGCCGGCAGTTGGCAGCCGAGTTGCGAGGCAAATTGGACCCTTGGAGAACATGGAGAACTCCACGGGGTCGTTTGGGGTATGGGTCAATTGTTTTTTTTTCAGACGGAGATCACGGATTTTGAAGCATCCGTTTGGGGATGTAAAGTTTGGTTTAGGTGGAGCATAGAAATATCGCCATCAAGAATGTGATTTATGTGAAGTTAAGCTTAGGGCCTCAACTTGAAACTAACTAGAATTGGTGACACAACCACCAATAGGAAGGAGGAGATCGCAGGAATGGGAAGACATTTCACAAACAAAATGGATACCATATGATACCATGGCCCGCCGTAGTAGACTGGGTTTCCCTAACGGGTTGCAGGTCTTGCCATTTTTTCACAAAGAACATGCACTAAATTGGCTGGGAAATTTGGGAGCTGAATCAGTTTAGAGTTAGAGTTGACACATTTTCCAGCTGGAGTTCAAAAAGTACAGGTGATAGTTTCAACATGTTAGAACTCCGTGCGTTTGGAAAGCCGGCGATTCCACGGTATCCGAACGAAAACAAAAAAAAACCTGAGGACGTGGCCACATTCCGAGCGATTCTGTCTGATCACGGGAACAGGGAGAGGAATCCCGAGGAGAACCCTCTCTTGAAGTGGTGGGGTGCCTTGGTATCATCGCCCATGAGTCTCGTGATGTCTCGTAGTGTTTTCAGGACCAAAATATGATAAACAACCAATTAAAAAAAAACTGCAGTGGTAGGAGCCAAGAATTAAAACCACTAGGTTTTATGAGATCATAGCATATCATAGCTTTATAGGTATAGGATGGTATAGGTATCTGAGGCACCACGGGGTGTGCAACTGAAGCCACCAGCTGAGGATACAGTATTTGCAACCATGGCACTCGAAAAAACCACACGTACGATGCCACTGCTCCACCTTGGGGCTCAGCTGCCTGGTTTCCAGCGTGATCATCTAATCCGAACCCTACCGGACTGGACTCTGCACCAGCTTGGGTGGCCGAAATCAACATCTGCATTATGGGGTTGGCTACATTGTTTCTTTATATGCATGTTTATTTGGAAAGATAGTCATAGATAGTCATAGTTCTATATATACAGTTTACTTGTGTTCACTTATTGCTGGGTAGTTTGGAAAGGTTTGAAATGTGTTTATTTTATTGTCTATCCCACCTGGGACGATACTGCAATGATGGTTCTGATTGACCTGCACTAGCTGACAATGTTGACACAAAGCGATCAGCGTAGCATGTCATGGAATAGTCAGATTCATGCTTCTCCGAGGTTAGTGCAGAAGTCCTTCAGCCTTCCCTTTGACTTTCGGCTGAAGTCATCCAGACTTTTGATGCATATTGCGGTCCCAAATGGATGCGACTACATTTCCCAAAGCCTGGTTTAAAATGGTTTAACCATGTTTAAACTCAGTTCCGGCGCCAGTAGCGGCCCGGCAGTTTTTTTTCGTTTTTCATTTATGCCATTTTGGATGGACTTGTGTAAAACTGTGATGGCGTCGAGATTTCCTTTGTTTCCAAATGTCCCACGTTGCGATAGGAAATTTGGATTTCGGATATGTTTCCCAGTGCTTTTCGCGGCCTCTTTTTCGGGATGCATGCTTTTTGGACCTGGGCGACCTTTTTTTGGACCTGTACATGTTTTTTGGACCTAACCAGAAATTTTTTTTGACCTAGGGTCACAAAAAATGTGGTGGACTTGCTTGTGTGTTTTCTGGACCCTGTGGGGATATTTTTTTTGGACCTGCATGTATTTGTGCTGGACCCAGGGATTTTTTTTTCGACTGCCAAATTAATTGTTTCTGAGCCCGGTTTCCTGTTTTTTGGACCTGTGCACCTGCTTCCTGGACCTTGCCTCCATAGGGTGGGGGGGGGGAAACTCCATTGTTATAGGCGCTCACATTGGGCTGGATCCCGTGCACGTTTTTTTGACCTGGCACAGGGTGGGGGGAATTTAGATACGGAGACAAGATGCATGCAAGAAGTTGTTGATGCCGGGGAAGTTCCGGTATCGAAACAATAAAAACGTAAGAAGTGGCGGGGAGGCCAATGGGGGAAGTTTACGTATGAAGCGAAATGGATGCAGGAAATTGACGGGCACATAGGGGAAAGGGAAAGCTCGATATTGAAACAGGATGAGCGCAAAAAGTTGTTGAGAGATGAGGGGTGAAGCCTAGACATTGAAACGACATGAAGATACATTAAGATACATGCAAAAAAATGCTGAGAGACGCAGGGGAAATTTTTGGGACCCGAAAATGAATGCCAGAAGAGGGTGGGTGGAATTTAGATATTGAGGCAAGATGCATGCAAGAAGGTGTTCAGAGAAACGGGGAAACATGTAGATATTGAAGCCAGGTGCCCGCAGAAAATTGGTGAGAAAGATGCAGGTGGGAGAGGGGGAAGTTAGACACCGAAACAAGGATGAACGCAAGAAGTTGCTGAGACGAAGCGGAAGTCTGGGTGCTGGGCCAGATACCGAACCCAAATGACGGTGCATGCAAGAATCTGTGGAGAGACGAGGGGAAGCTGAGATATTGAAACCGCGTGAATGCGGGAAGCTGTGGAGAGGCACAGGTGGGGGGGACTTTAGGAGGCCACGGTGGAACCAGATATAAAACCAAATTACTTTACTTCGAGTTATCCCCACCATGACATCTATACGTTTTGTTACTGGCAAATCTTCTGGCATTCTATCTGACATATCTTCTGGCATTTTATCTGGCATATCTTCTGGCATTCTATCTGGCATATCTTCTGGCATTCTACCTGGCATATCTTCTGCAATATGTTCTGGCATATCTTCTGGCACTCTATCTGGCATATCTTCTGGCATATCTTCTGACATTCTATCTGGCATTCTATCTGGCAAATCTTCTGGCATATGCTCTGGCAAACATTTTGGCACTTTATCTGGCATACCTTCTGGCATTCTATCTGACATTCTATCTGGCATACCTTCTGGCATTCTATCTGGCATATCTTCTGGCATTTTATCTGGCATATCTTCTAACATTCTATCTGGCATATCTTCTGTCACTCTATCTGGCATATCTCATGGCATTTTATCTGGCATATCTTCTGGCATTCTATCTGACATTCTATCTGGCATCTCTTCTGGCATTCTATCTGGCCGTTGAGGTCCAGCGGTGCACACTGAGCTGGGCAGGTCCCCGGTTGAGGTCCAGCGGTGCACACTGAGCTCGGAAGGTCCCAGGTTGAGGTCCAGCAGTGCACACTGAGCTCCGAAGGTCCCAGGTTGAGGTCCAGCGGTGCACACTGAGCTGGGAAGTTGGCAAAGAGCTTGGCCAAGAGTTGGCAAGGCGGAAGTTGAGGTGGAAGTTGATGCAGACATGGTCGAGGAGAAACTGGAGGCGGAGGAGGAGGAGGAGGAAGAGGAGGCGGAGGAGGAGAGCTAGCCGAAGAGGAGAAGAACAACTGTGATAAAATCTAACAACCCTCACCTGGCAGGTGGGGAATGAATGCAGGAAGTTGCTCAGGGGCACCGGGAATATTGAAGCAAGATGAACGCAGGAAGTTGTTGTGGGGCACCGGGGAGGAAGCTTAGATATTAAACAAAATGAACGCAAGAAGTTATGGGGAGGCTGCAGTTAAATTTATATATATTGAAACCCAATGAATAAAAGAAGTTTAGGAAGTTTGATGAGAGGCACAGGGGGGAAGTTAGATATTGAAACCAGATGAGCGCAAGAAGTTTTTGAGAGACAAGGGGGGAAGCTTAGACATTGAAACCAAGTTGAGATGCATGCAAAAAGTTGTTAAGAGGCCAGGGGTGAAGTCTTGAGAGCAAGCGAATGAATGCAGGAAATTGGTGAGAGGCACAAGGGGGGGAAGTTTAGATATTGAAGCCAGGTGAATGCTCCCAAGTGGGGCACAGAGGTGTGAAGAGTAGAACTTGAGAAAAAGAGGGCAGAATGGGAAGGAGGTGGGAAACCCAATGTGTCACCAGGAGATGGGCGCTGCACTCCCTGGAGAGTATAGATATTGAAGCCCAATGAATGCATGAAGTTAAAGAAGTTTGATGAGAGGCACAGGGGGGAAAATTAGATATTGAAACCAGATGAGCGCAAGAAGTTGTTGAGAGACAGGGGAAGCCGAGATATTGAAACCAAATGCATGCAGGAAGTTGCTGAGAGGCACAGGGGCGCAGGAGAAATTCGGATATTGAAACAGCATAAAGGCAAGAAGTTGTGGAGAGGCCAACGGGGGGAAACCTACATATGAAACCAAATGGATGCAGGAAGTTGAAAGGCACAGGGGGGGAAGAGAAAGTTAGATATTAGAACGTTGCTGAGAGCTGACGGGTGAAGCCTAGACATTGAACCCACATCGGCTGAGGCAACGAAGACCGTCATGGACAGATGTGTAAACGTACCGGCGAGGGAGGCTCCTGGGCGCAATGGTCGCAGCTGAGGGTGCCACATGAGTCGACATCGAAATCAGTGTAACCTCGTTGGTGAGTATCCGGTCACAGGACGTATGGACATGTAGACGCGGCTGGAATGCAAGAAGATGAATGCAAGAACTGTGTCTGAAGAATTGCGATCAAGACGCGGCTGGACAGAAACTGGAGAATCTATCCAAAGGGGGTATGGTTTGGGAGCAGACCGTGTACCTATGTTGCATGCTAGCTGCTAGCGCGGTCAAGGCTCCCAGACTGGCTATACCCCTCGCAAGCAGCAACGAACTCACCAGGATGAGTGTCCAAGTCGGTTCAAGCTGTGAGGACAACACTACATGGCACTTCCTGCCCAGTTGCATGCTAGCGCAGCTCTAGCGCCCTACTGTCTGAAAAATTGCGATGCAGACGCGGCTGGACAGAAATTGTAGAATCTATTCGAAAAGGGTATGGTTTGGGAAAGAGCCAGGTCGAGCAGGAGGGAAGGATGAGGTCCAGCAGGAGGGTGTGCAGGTCCAAAAGAAGGGTAGCCATCTCCAAAAGAATTGTAGTAAGGTCCAGTAAAAGTGCCCAGGTCCAAAAGAAATGTAATGAGGTCCAAAAAAAGTGTTTTCCCTCTTTTTCTAGCCTCGTCGTTTGCGTCGGTTTGCCTTGGCTGCCAAGTTGGCCAGACTTCGTTTCAAGTCTTGCTTGCTGTTCCAATAGGCAAAAGACATCAAAAGACCATACATCTGTTTCAATTCTTTGGGAATCTCTCTTGTTTCTTTTGTTTTTGGACAGAGAAAAGGGAACGTGTTGCACTGATTCGATTTTGTCCACCTCATACAAGATTCAGCTCATTTCAGTTCAAACTCGGATAAGAAAAATCAAGGCTTCAATGATGTCTTTGAGTTGGGAAAATCACATCTGACAAATCATGGTCCCGAAATTCATCTATACCTCTGCTTTGACCCTATGGTGTTGACAAAAATCAGTCAACATGAAGCTTCTTCCACTTCGAAGTTAACGGATCATGACATACGTCAAGTACCTGCACTTTCCACAAGGCATCACTACAAAACCAAGCATTTTGAAATTTGGAAACTCATGCTTTACAGATGTTATCAGCGTAGCATCAATGTGCATGCCCCTGGCACCCCCCACCCCCCACCATACCCAGTTCCCCATGATAATCACATAGTCATTCGTGCACAACTTCTAACTGACGCGCACAACTTCTAACTCGTGCAATGCAGCAGTAAAAAGCAGCAAAACCAGCGCCGGTAGCCACTCTTTGTTTTAAAGGTTCCACATGGTTCCACCATGATCTACCAAATTATTGCCCATCCAGTATCCACATGATGTAAGTATAATTAATTTGTTTGTATAGAAATACAGTTTGGTATATTTTGGTATATATTGTATATTGCATTACAATGCAGTACACATGAAGTACATAAATATAGACAAAAAGATCCAGTGCTTACATCCAGGAGACACGGCCCTACCAGGATGTAACAAACCACCTAGGTGCCTTACACTACAACTATGGCTGGGCCTGCGGTGAGAAAGCCGAGTTCGGAGATCAGCAACTTGAAAGAAACAACTTCCGGCGGGAGGTGAATGAAATGGGATGGTTGAGCCAACAGAAGTTGAATGAAACTAGGCCTATATGACTCGATATGCAGCTTCAAGATGGTTTCAAAATATTGGCGGTCTTCTGTATGAAGATATTCACAGCATGAACATTTGTGGTCTGGGTCAAAAGTTGCCCTGAAGCCTTCACAGTTTACCTGCTGAGGCTTTTCCAGAGTCGTTCCTGGAGCCACTTCTGCACCTTTGTGTCGCCCTCTGATGGACAACTGCCCACGGGCCACATCGCGTGTACCACGGTGGATGGTGAAATTACTCCGGAGGCAAAGCTTTTCCGTAGATAAACGATGCTAAACGCAGAGAGGCTCGAAGATTCGCCGACCTCTCTATAGGATTCTGTCGACTTTGGGTCAACACTTCAGATTTGGGATGAAATATATGATGAGTTGACTTTCTGTCGTGTTTGGGCAAAGGACTACTCTGAGATTCATCTTCATAATTCTGTAGATTCCATGCGTTTGAACGCAATTTCCTGCATTTCTCCCAAAGACCTGTCGGCTTACGGCCATGTACAGAGAAGCAGCGCTGTGTTTCAAGTCTGATTGTATAGCTTCATGTTTTGGTCACAGTTCTTTGTCGGAATGAATCCAATGGCAAGGAAAAGGCGGTCGGTCCGTTTGTTTAGAACTCGCCAGCAAGGAAACTGAATTTGTTCTATTTTGAGCTTCAAATGATCTTCAATTGACTACCAACCAGGAGTTCAACATTTCCGGAGGCCCTAAGTTTGCGACATCCCCCGAGCCACATCGCGTGCACCACGGTGGATGGTGAAATTTTCTCCGGAGGCAAAGCTTTTCCGTAGATAAACGATGCTAAACGCAGAGAGGCTCGAAGATTCGCCGACCTCTCTATAGGATTCTGTCGACTTTGGGTCAACACTTCAGATTTGGGATGAAATATATGATTTGACTTTCTGTCGTGTTTGGGCAAAGGACTACTCTGAGATTCATCTTCATAATTCTGTAGATTCCATGCGTTTGAACGCAATTTCCTGCATTTCTCCCAAAGACCTGTCGGCTTACGGCCATGTACAGAGAAGCAGCGCTGTGTTTCAAGTCTGATTGTATAGCTTCATGTTTTGGTCACAGTTCTTTGTCGGAATGAATCCAATGGCAAGGAAAAGGCGGTCGGTCCGTTTGTTTAGAACTCGCCAGCAAGGAAACTGAATTTGTTCTATTTTGAGCTTCAAATAATCTTCAATTGGCTACCAACCAGGAGTTCAACATTTCCGGGGGCTCAAAATTTTGAACCCCCAAATTCCACAAAATAGAATATTGGTTTATAATAAGTATCCACTTCGAAATTGCCCTTTTGTTTGGGGGTGGGTTCAATGGGGGGGCATTCCCCTTTTGAGGCAAACCATGGTTGGTCAACACCTATGTTTGTCCCCAATTCCTGTTGATTAAACCCCAATTTGTGTTGGTTGAACATCCATTTTAGATAGTTGGTTGACGCAGCATTTTTGTGAGGTTGTTTGTTGCTTACTATCTCTCATGGCTTGAGACCCCCTTCGCCGCAGATGGGCCTTGTGGAGTTTATTGATTGTTGCAGGACTGATGCCTTTGTTCCAAGATGTCGCCAGTATCTGGGATGACTTACACAATGACAAGAACCAGTATTAATCCATCCCCCTAATATCAAAGGCCCCCCCCCAATAAACCATGGGTTTAGTGATGGAATTCGCACCTTTTCGCCAGCAATGATGACAGCTCAATGGGTCTTCCACTGGAAAGTGTCTAGCAGATTCACCCAAAGACGCGAATCATAGGTGTGGAATGCGGAGGCATGCTCGTCTCAAGGCATGCGCAAAAGAAGTTGACCAGCAAGACTGCTGCATGACCTCAATCAGTTTTTTTAAACTCAGACTGTGGGAACCTTACGTCAAGATATTCCAACCCGATTTACCCTCAATCATGGCAAAAATCCACCGTCACCACTGGTTGTTTATTCGATATTTCATGTACAATTCTACATATATACTGTATTTATTGAATTTCACGAGGTCTTGGGTTTTTTGGATTTTTAGGGTATATTGGGTTTCAAAGTCAAAATGCATCATTTCGAGCAACCTGCGCGCAGAAGGGTCGTGAGGAAAAGTGTTGAATGTTGTGATTTTTGTCGAATCAGTGGTGGTCCACAGGTGAAACTGGCCTTCCAGAGAAGTTGAAACAGTCGGAAACAGTCGGAAACAGTTTTAAATAGCTATGTTTTTGCCGAGTCAAAGGTACGAGCCCCAACTGTTTCCAACTGTTTCCCGTTGCACTTTCAAAAAAAAAAGGGATTGGCATGATTTCCGACTGTTTCCGACTGTTTCAGCTTCTTTGGAAGGCTAGTTTCACCTGTGGACCACTGATTCAACAAAAATCACAACATTCAACACTTTTCCTCACGACCCTTCTGCGCGCAGGTTGCTCGAAATGATGCATTTTGACTTTGAAACCCAATATACCCTAAAAATCCAAAATCCCCAAGACCTCGTGAAATTTAACATATATATTTATATTATTTATATATATATTCACTGGTTGTTGGAATTTGATGTGTATATATATATATATACAGTTCCAATATATTTCTACCAGTAGTACCGCACAAGGCGGTGGCGGAAGTTTCAAGGATAGGACACTATAGGAGAGGTGAGTTGTTGTGATGCATGGATGGCAGAGCGAATCCACTGATGGACCGAAAGGTGGTTGGAGTTGTGTTTTCTGGAGTGGTTGCAATGGTTGCAGTGGTCACCTCACCACAACTGCTGGATGTCGTGTGGTGTAGTGCAGTTGTAGTTGTAGGTGTAGTTGTTGTTGTAGCTGTAGCTGTAGTTGTAGTGTAGCGGAGTTGTAGTTGTAAGTTGTAGTTGTAATGTAGTGTAGTGGAGTTGCAGTTGCAGTTGTGGTGTGGTGTAATTAGTGTGGTGTAGTGTAGTGTAGTGTACTGTAGCGTGGTATAGCGTAGTGTAGTCTAGTGTATTGCAGTGTAATGTAGTGTAGCTGTAGTTGTTGTGCAGTGTCGTGTAGTGCAATGTAGTGGTAGTTGCAGTTGTAGTGTAATGTAATGCAAATTAGTGTAGCGTAGTGTTGTGTACTGTAGTTGTAGTTGTATTTGTAGCTGTAGCTGTAACGTACTGCAGTTTAATTAGTGTATTGTCGTGTAATGTAGTATAGCTGTAATTGTAGTTGTAGCTGTGGTGGTAGTGGTAGCAGTAGTAGTAGTAGTAGTCGTCGTCGTCGTAGTCGTAGTCGTAGTAGTTGCTGTTGCAGTAGATGTAGTGTAATTACGTAGTGTAGTGTAGTGTAATTAGTGTTGTGTAATGTAGGGTAGTATATTTGTACTTGTAGTTGTAGTAGTAGTGTAGTGTAGTGGTACTTGTAGTTGTAGTTGCAGCTGTAGTTTTCTATCTATCTATGTTTATCTGCAAGCTTGAAAACGCAGCTATTTTGTGACACTTCTTCAGTTTTTGAACTTGACAACTTCGCAGCAATTCTACGAGACTTCCTTAATTTTGAACTTGACAACGTCAAAAACAAAACAATTCTGCGAGACTTCCTCATTTTTCGAAGCTGACAACATCAAAAACGAAGCAATTCTGCGAGACTTCTTTCAAAAATGGAAAGTTGAGTGCAGAGCTGACGGCCTCGTACCAATGCGTTTTGCGATTTTTCCACTCCACCTATCTAAAGTACTGCGCCGGCCAGGAAAAAGCGATGCCGGATCATACGAAGTGCTGCAGCGCCCTCACCTCGTACTGTAACATCTCTGATGAACATGTCTCTTCTACTGCGCCTGCCACGGAAAATGTATCTTTGCAGATCCTCTTCAAATGTCCCATGCCTGCCATCGTTTTTGGAGATGCCACAAAAATCCCACGTTTTGCTCACTTTTGACAAGGTGCGCAATCCCTTGCGCCTGCCACGCAAAACGACGCGACGCTTCAACGTCCAAAAGTGGACGGGCATGAGGTGCTTTGTACATGTTGACTTGGAAATGTGCTTCGCGCCACAACTGCGTGCACTTTTTCGACATCTCAACCGTAGCCATTTTGGCTCAAGGTACACATTGGGCTCTTGCTGCAAAGCAGGCCTTTTGCCCCTTTACTTCTTCCATGTTGCAGCCCATGGGACTTTGACACAGTTGCGGCCTAAAATTCTGCTTTCTCCTGTCTGCTGCTTTGAGGGACCCCGAGATAAGTATTTGTTTGCAGCACACCGACTCTTCAAGACCTATGCAGCTCCGCGGAAGAACAAGAAGAAAAACAACAGCAGGTGCAGCACACCTGCTGGAAGCTGGTAGCCTTACAGGGTTTGCCCACGGAGACAGAACCAACTCAAGGCCAAAGTGCAAAGAGTTCCTCTTAGTCACTGGCCTGCAGGCTGTTAGCGCACTGCAGGTCTAAAGCCTCCACGCGCTGAAAAAAATACGATAAAGAACTGTTGTTGCCCTTCTTTTAACTTCCGGCTTTAGGTGCTGCAACACGATCCCCTTCCGGAGCTTCCGACGCGCCCCGTCACTTCCATCAGCTGGTCCCGTGGTGTAACGGTTAGCACTCTGCACTCTGAATCCAGCGATCGCGGTTCAAATCCGCACGTTTTTTTTTAACCATTTTGACTTGGAAATGTGCTTCTCGCCACAACGGCGTGCACTTTTTCGACATCTCAACTTCCAAAAGTGCTCCGGGCATGGTGTGTTTTGTACATTTTGACTTGGAAATGTGCTTCGCGCCACAATGGCGTGCAATTTTTCATCTCTCATCTGGCCAGCCGGCTCCGCACCCGCCGCTTTAGCGAGCCTACTTTTCGACCCTCTGGAGCCACAAATCATTGGAAAAACACAGTGTTTCGCGACTTTCCTACCTTTTTGCGCACCTGGATCTTCTTTCTTCGGAGACTTTCTCTTTTTGATCTTCTTTCTTCTCTTCTCTTCTCTGACTCTTCCCATCTCTGCTTTTCATCTGTCCATATTGTCGGAAGTTTGACTTCTAAACTTCCTTCGAATATTCTGATTAATCATTATTTTTGAGATATATTAACAGAATTTTAATGAATTTTCTGGGCCAGGATCTCAATCCTGCTGGTTAGATGGCGAACTGGTTCCGGCGGGGCCCTGAGTGAAACAGCTAAATAGGCTGGAAATCCAGGATTATATTGCACATATACATATCTATATCTATATCTATATCTATATCTATATATAAATATACACATTGTGTACATACAGTGCACCATATATTTTATTTGATAGAGTTAGATGGATAATATAATAGACGACAATTAGATGATTAGACTAGATT